TCTTCATGTCAACAGATCTTTCTTAACATCATTAATCAGGTTTTTACGACAGGTCCTATCCCAGATGACTGGAAAACCCATATTATTAGACCCATTTTAAAGCCTGGAAAAGACCCCTCTTCAGCATTAAATTACCGCCCTATTGCTATCTCATCAACCTTATCTAAAGTCATGGAACATCTCGTAAAGAATCGACTGGAGTGGATATTAGAAAATAGGGGCATTCTGTCAAGGACTCAATTTGGTTTTAGAAAAGGTTTTAGCACAATGGATAGCCTTAGTATCTTAGTATCAGACATAAGGCTTGCTTTTTCCAACAATGAGTATCTTGTAGGCGTCTTTGTGGATGTTCGTTCGGCCTACGATGATGTTATTCTTCCGCTGCTCAGGCAGAAAATGCAACAGCTGAACATCCCGGAGGGAATCACAAATTTCGTGTCAAACCTGCTTTCGCAGAGGCGCATATTAGTTCGCTCTGAAGGCAAGCTCACATCACCTAGACCTGTCTGGAAGGGATTACCTCAAGGCTCAGTTCTGAGCCCCTTGTTATACAGCCTTTATACATATGAACTTGATAGATCTGTAAACTACTTAGCTAATGTCCTACAGTATGCTGATGACTTAGTCTTATATGCATCCGACATTTCCTTTGACCAAGCAATCTCCCGTCTATCCCAAGCAGTTAAATCCCTCAACTTTTGGCTTATAGAACATGGTTTGTCCATTTCAGCTAGTAAGAGTAACTCAGTAGTATTTACTAGACGAAGGTTTTCCCCAGATGTGCCTATCCATATTGATGACTCTCTTATACCTTCTCAGACTCAAGTGAAATTTTTAGGAGTATTTCTAGACAGTAAAATGACAGGTATCCCACATTTATCCTATGTAGCTGCTAAATGTGAAAAAAATTTAAATGTCATCCGATCTCTATCAGGCTCCTGGTGGGGCTCCCATCCTTATTCCCAAAAGCTTTTATATAATGCATTAATAAGAAGCCACTTCGATTATGGTTGTTTTTTACTGGAGCCATGTAGTAAAATGGCACTTAACATACTGGACAAAATCCAGTCAAAATGTCTCAGAATCATAACAGGAGCAATGAAATCTACTCCTATCCTCGCTCTCCAAGTGGAATGTGTCGAGCCTCCTCTTTTTTTCCGAAGAGAGTATTTATCAGACAGATTTTTATTTAAAGCTGCCTGTTATTCGCACCATCCTCTCCTATCCAAACTACATTCCCTTAACCAGTTAGTCAAGCGATCCCAATATTGGTCACATAAGGATTTGCCATGCATTATAAAAAGCTATTCCAAACTTGTCAATCTTCCTTCTCCAATCTCCAAGTCACTCAGGAACCCTCTCTACAATATTCCCTATGAGGCCCTAATATATAAGCCAGACATATTTTTAAATATTGGCATTTATAAGGACAGCACTGAACCAAATATTAAATTAAACATGATTCTAGCTGAAAAGTGGGTTGACTGGGTGATTATGTTCACTGATGCCTCAAAGGTCAGCGAAAAAGGTTTAGTAGGATCCGCAGTGTGGATACCTAAATATAAAATTATTTTAAATTTTAATTCCCCTTCTGACTCTTCTGTATTCACAGGTGAGTCATTGGCTATATTAGAGGCAGTTTTGTATGCTGAATCTCACAGCCTGAAAAAAACTCTCATATTATCAGATTCCCTTAGCTGCTTACAAAGTATTGCTTCCAGCTCATTTCAATTAAAAGTAAAATACCCATTAATTTTAAATATCAGAGAGTCTCTATTCAAATGTCATAAAAAGGGACTAAGGATTGTCTTGGCGTGGATACCTGCTCACTGTGGGATTCAGGGCAACGAGGTTGCTGATCGGATAGCTAAGGAAGCAGCTAAATCTGGATCACTACCCAAACACAATATTTACTCATATGACCTCCTGTCGAAGGCTAACTTAAGTTTACACTCCTCATGGCAAACCATTTGGCATCAGTCAAAACTTATAAAATGTAAAAATTATGCTAATGTCCAAAATAATATCCCCCTAAAACCTTGGTTCTTTAAAACCCGTCACTTTAGTAAAGTGATTACCTCAACTGTTTGCCGTCTCCGATTCGGTCACACCTGCACACCTGTACACCTAGCTAAATTAAGGATTAGGGATACGTCAATCTGTGAATGTGGGTTAGGCGAAGGAACAGTTAACCACCTGTTTTTTGAGTGCCCCAAGGTCTCCTTCTCCTTTTATGATATACTCCCTAACTACATCCCTCGTCCTACTAATTTCTCATACTTACTGTCCCTTGTGTTTACTCCCTTTGTAAATATTTTGTATGATTATATTAGAACTAATAAAATTAAGTTGTAAGATTACTAACATGGTGATGGTTATAAACTTGTGGCGTCTTTTGTTGTAGATTGTAAAGACCTACACAAACAATAATAACTTGTAACTATTGTAAACACTCTCTTGTCACTCCCATGACTGACTTGACATTGGCAGAATTCTAAAAAGAGGGGCCATAAAACTAAGAAAGAAGAAGAAGAAAGAAGACTATATAATAATTTTGAACTAATAATTTATGAATAATCTAATCTAATCCAATGTAATCAATATTATTTATGATGAATAATTTAATCTAATAATCTAATCTATTATTATGAATAATGTAATCAATGAACTATTAATAATATTTGACATTTGTATGCCCATGAGGATTCAACTCAGCTGGGCAGCGTTCGGGAAACTATGACACATCTTCTCGTTAGACATACCTCAAAACCTGAAAACGAAATTGTACAACCAGTGCGTGTTGCCAGTGATAACTTACGGATCTGAGACGTGGTCCTTCACTGCTGGCCGTATGAGGAAGCTCAAGGTCGGTCAGCGAGTTATGGAGAGGGCTATGCTCGGGGTTTCTCTGCGTGATAAACTTAGAAATAAGGATATCCGCAGTAGAACCAGAGTAACCGATATAGCCCAACGGATTAGTAAGCAGAGTATTATGGTATTTGTAATGTTCTAAAGAACTGAACAAAAAAAATGTGAACATGTTTCACAAATCCCACCTACTTAGAGGAGAAATTTTAAATTACATATTAAAATTATGGATAACAGAGTCGTAGATATCCGCAGTAGAACCAGAGTGACCAACATAGCCCAACTGAAGTAAGCTGAAGTGGCAGTGGGCCGGCCATATAGCTCGAAGAACCGACAACCGATGGGGAAGAAAGGTTCTCGAGTGACAGTCCCGTACCGGTAGGCGAAGTGTAGGGCGACCCTCACTAGATGGAGTGACGACCTGGTAAGACATGCAGGAAGTCAATGGATGCAGGTGGCTCAGGACCGTAGTTTGGGGCATTCCTCGGGGGAGGCCTATGTTCAGCAGTGGACTTATGAAGGGCTGTAATGATGATGATGATGATGATGATGCCCATGAGACTGATCACATGCTGAACTTTATTTGTGTTTAAATAAGACTATTATGTAAACTGTGAATCACAAATAAACTATTTGATTAGATGTATAAACTAAAGTATTGAACATTTAGCTTTTATATGATTTTTTCCAGTAATTTTTATTTATTTTTATTTTATTTATTTATTTATTTTTACCAACAATATACATTCAGAAAACAAAAAATATATGCTTACATCCGATACAATACTATTTTTAGGTGAAAAACTGGCGCCTAAACTAGGTAAAACCTGTATCTTAGGTTACCATTTTATTCCCAAGGAGCGTGATATAACAGAAATTAAAAAAAACAGAAAATAAAGATTACTGATAAATAAATAACATGACAAGAAAAATATGGAGTAATAAATATGGAGAGAATAAGAAAAATATAACTATAAAGACTACTGGTGACATCGACGTGTCGTTTTGTGACGTCACATCGCGATGTGGAGCAAAGCGGTCGCACTTACCGTAAAACACCATTTTACTCATCAATATTTCAGTCATTTTTAAAAGTAGAAAAAAGATAAGAATACCGTTGAATTCGTAATTTTTTATACAATTTTATGATACCCTTAACAAAATTGGGTGGCCAGACCCATTGTAGCCGTGAACAAACGATGTCATTCCTTTCCATCAATTGTTTACGACCATCTGGAGCTTGTATGTAGTTGTACCAAAGTTCTATAAGTATTTTACGCATAGAAGAAATAGAACACTGGAAACCGTCAATTCATTCTTTTGCTGTACTCAAAATTTTAGCCGTGGAAGGATATTCACCGTCGTGATAAAACGACACTATTTGTTTAATTACACTTTTGTCAAAGTCGTCTAAGACAGTTACTGTACAAGGCCGATAGACGCTTTCTCACGGAGAGCTAACTTCTCCCTTTATACACTCTTTTTTAATTTTGTCGACCGCTCTAACACTGACACTACAAATCGCCACAGCAAGTTCACGAGAACGGCAGAAATTAACACTTTGTAACTTTTCGGGATCTATCTCATTTCAGTGAAAAATGTTAAAACGTGCTTGTGCTGGTATATTGATGGCAACAGGCAAAATATTATTTTGAATAAATTCTGCCATTTTGGTACAAAAAAAGGAGTAGCCATTGTGTCACTAAAAAAATTCAGAGAGCGAATGCGTAAAAACAAATTTCTCTTCAATATATGTACTAAGTTATCATTGCACTAATTTGCAAGTATTAGGCGGGGGTAATAATGAAAAAAATGACTCATAACATAACAATGTCGCACCATCCTTTGTATACCGCACCGCCACCGTGTACCTGCTTTCGATGATTCATTTTTTGTTATCGATAATGGCGTTGCGCCTGCGCAACATTTTCACCGCCCTAGCCAGGCTGAGGCCGAGCTATGATTTATGACCACAACTGCACGGACAAAATAATTTTACTATATATTTTATGTGCTATGTACTAATCACAGAGTACATTTAGTTTATATATGTTCTAATAATGCACTCTGTGGTCTATTGTGTTTAAATTTAATTCATCTGGCTTAAATGGCAAGCATCCAAGCCAAAAACCATAATAAGTAAATTAATTAATAGGTTATCTTATTCCCTTATGCCTAATTAAATAAACTTGTTTTATAACACAAGAAAATGTTAAGTTACCTGCTATCCTGCTGATACAGTATAATAAAGGTGTTCGTTAAATATGCATTTAGTTAAATTTCACAGAAACCTTCCAAAGTTTAAGTTTTGGACTAAAAGGAGATATTCTCATGCACTACTTACTGACGAAAATGAATATACTGAAGCACCCGAATATCCTCCAATATTGGATATGTCACTACAAGGAAGAAAACTACGAGAAAGACAAATTGTTCATGAAAAAATCCAAAAATTAAACACTGTGGAAGAAAAACAAATTGCTCTAAATATGCCCCGATATTACGGATGGAAGTGTGTTATGTTGAATGAAGATAAAATACCTTATAATGCCTTACCTTTGGTGAAGTGCTACACAAGGACACATTTTATACCATCAAGTTCTCTCCCAGACGTATATTCTGAAACAGCATCACTTGCAGATTTGGTTGTAAAACAAACTAAATCACTAATTGAGGATATCATTATTTTGGAATCGGAAGCTGTTAAGTGAGTTCACGCATTCTAAATTCACATCATAACATCACATCTACTGTATAGTGCCTACTATGGTAAAGTGCCAAGAACGCTGGTTGCATCTCCTCGCTGAATGGCTATACTTAGCTTTCGAACGAGAAAAGATCTAAATGAGGTACCCCTGAGATCAGAGGCTGCGGTAAGACTTTCCATTGACGTACGTCGAGTTGGGGATTGATATTTGTTTTACAGAAAGGTTACATAATTATAAGCACACATGCAAATTTTCAACATGTGGAAACACGTACTTTTTGAGAAAAAAAATATTGAAATTCAATTATTTTTGCAATATTTATGCCAATCACCATTGCCGTCCGTCAAGTTGGCAGTTGATATTTTTATTACAGAAAGGTTACATTATTAAAAGCACACTCACAAAGGTTCAACATTCGGGGACACATACTTTTTGAGAAAAAAAAAATAGAAAATTAACTTTTTTTGCAATATTTATGTCAATTCCTACCATGAAACTGACACCATTTTTTATTGCTATTGTCAGTAGTGATGTTGATTCTTTCCGAAAAAGATCAATTTTTTAAATAGATCCGAATTGTAAGCTGATATATTGATTCCCAAAAAATCGATTTCTAATATATCTATATTTTTGTCATGTTTGCATTTATAATGTAAATATAAATCCATTTTATGAGAAAAAAATCCCCTTCATCATAAAAAAATAGGGGGACTGATTCAGAAGGATTTCCGTATCTATTTTGAGACTGCTATGTCTCCGGCGCTGCGGGAAGAGCAGTCTCTACGCCTTAGTGCATCAAATCGCAGGCATTCCTACTCGCCTCCAATTTGTTACAGCAGGCGGAGGCTGCTCCCCCTATGCGCCTCCGGCTCTATAAAACCACTCTAGGGGTAGGACAGACTCGTACCAGGTGGAGTCGGGGTCAATCAATTCGGTTCTTTGACATAAGTTGAACCTAACCTATTTTATTTTTTATCTGCCCTAATAGGTACTGTTAAAATAAAACAAATTTCAATAAGAGATCATTTATTATGGATTCTTTCTTGTTTTTCATAAAATGGATTTATATTTACATAATAAATGCAAACATAAAAAAAAATTTAGATATTTTAGATATCGATTTTTTGTGAATCGATACATCAGCTTACGATTTGAATCGATTTAAAAACCGACCTTTTTCGGAAAGAATTGACATCCCTACTGACGACAACAATGACATTACAAAATTAGACATAAACATTGCAAGAATAATTGATATTCAATAATTATTTTTCTCAAAAATTATGTGTTTCCGCATGTTGAAACTTTGTGAGTATGCTTATAATAGTGTAACTTTTCTGTAAAAATATGTATCAACACCCAACGGCTAACCCTCAGCTTAGCATTCCATTGACGTCCGTCGACGTCAATGGAAAGCTAAGCCGAGGCTGCTGAAGTGTCTACACACATGTCAGCACCCTATAATGGGGCTTAAACTCTCTCCACTTCCCACAACTTCTGCCATTGTTTCTAAATATTCCACAAGTCTCTTAAACCGTGGGAACATTTATAGAAATGAGAGCTGTTTGGATGACATTGTTAAGAGAACTGTGATGGGACAACTTACTAGCAGTTTTTTTACATGTGAGTCCTTGAAGCCCAAACTTGTCGACGCTGCTACCACAAGGGCTACACACTATGATGGTAAAGAGAGTAACCAGTGACTAGATTCATTAGTCGAAAGAGCTAGAAGGATTCCTTTTTTTAATAAAATAACTATACTTTAAAGGGCTCCATATAGAATTGAAGAAAAAATCCACTCCTGAAGATCAGAAAAATAAAGAATGATTCTTTTAGTATAACTTTTTCGATGACATTCTAGTTGTTACCTCATAATGGAATATATGACATATAGACTGTAACTTTATTCCTCGTCCCTTATTTTAACCATCATCATTTGTAGCCTACATAGCAGTTTTGGTGGTATAGTATACACATACCATCAGGTGGACTGAGTGCTCGTTTGACCCCTCAAATTATATAGAAAACTAGCTGATTCCCATGACTTCACCCATGTGTACTTTAGGGTTTTAGTTTTGTTGCGAGGAACCCTAATTATTTTTTAAAAATATAAATAGCCTAAGTTACTCCTTGTAACATGAGCTATCTAACAGTGAAAGAGATTAGCCGCCACAAACAGACAGACAGACAAAAATTTTAAAAATTGTGTTTTTGTTATAAGTACCGTATATACTGCAATTAGTAAATGTATATGCAATTAGTAAATAGCTGTTATTTTGACATTACAAACAGACACTTCAATTTTATTTATTTGTATAGATTACGCTCTACTCTGGGACATGAACAGTTGATGTAATTTTACTGATGGTGCTTAGTAAAAATGTTAACATCAGAAAACATGAGTTTATCAAAATATAATACAATGTAATTACATTTTAACACAAGAAAACTTCAATTATTTTTTAATTGAAATGCTACTAAACTTCCTAACTAACTCAGACCTTTCGTTTTTTTTATTCAATTGGGTGCGACAATTACACTTATGTCTAAGCTATAGAAAATTGATGATTTGAAAATTTTTGGCATGATGTGTGATTAAAACAAATTAGTAGTGACACTCTTTTATTGACTATTGACTACAAAATGTTTTTTCAGACACAATTATGTCGCAGAACAAGAAAAACCTGAAGAACAACAGAAAGAAGATATGATAACAAAAAATATAGTGAAACAAATTAACAGAATAATTTGTAATAAACTTTCAGACAAAGCTTCACACATTTTATCTTCTCAGGTAGGTATTTAAAACACAATGGAGGTAATGTAGTTTAGTTTTATATTCTCAGAAAATTGTGTCATTGGAACTTCATCAACATCATCATTACAGTCCTTTACTGCAGAACATAGGCCTCCCCCAAGGAATGTTACAATCCACAAATCACGGCCCTAAGCCACCTTCATCAATCAATTTCCTGCATGTCTTATCAGGTCGTCACTACATCCATTGGGAGGTCGCCCTACACTTCGCCTACCGGTACGAGATTGTCACTCGACAACCTGATTTCCCTGTCGGTTGTCGGTTCTTCGAGCTATATGGCTGGACCATTGCCACTTCAGCTTACTTCAGTTGGGCTATGTTGGTCACTCTGGTTCTACTGCGGATATTTACGACTCTGTTATCCATAATTTTAAATGAATATGTAATTTAAAATTTCTCCTCTAAGTAGGTGGGATTTGTGAAACATGTTCACATTTTTTTTTGTTCTTCTTTAGAATATTACAAATACCATAATACTCTGCGTAATTCTTCTTGTTGTGGTGGCGCGGCGTAAGAGAGTCCATCACCCCATTACATCCCGTAGATATCGTTAATAGGGACTATGGGGAATGCCAGAAAGATTTAACTTTTTACGAATACGATATAGTGGCATAACTATTTCGTTTTCGCCAGACGTAAAGTACCTAAGTCGGCGGCGGGGAGCAGCATTAAATGCGCGAAACTTCTGATTCTGCGAAATTCGCCTGCCAACCGTGATCTTTAAGGCAAACTTATCCGCAATGTCGCGGGTCCATGCCCAGCAACGGACGTTTAAATATGTAAAAGGCCCGGGTTTTATTAAAAAAATAAATAAACAGGTAAGTTTAAGGACGCGCGAAATGTAAAGTTCGGCTGTGTACATTTTCCATATATTCAAAATCTCAGTTAAAAAAAGTTAAGTGTGTTATAGATTAGGTGTTAAGTGAGCTCATAATTATTTTAAAAGAGCTAATCTAATGGCACCTAACTCTACATGAAGCCTCAAAAAAAAAGTTCCTGGTTCCTTCTATGACATGATCATGACCAATCAAATGATTTTTAATATCTTGTATACTGGATCATTTTTCGTAACTTGGTTTAATTTTTATCCACGGTTGATATAAATATTAAGGTGTTTTTAATTGCAGGCTGATTATGAACCTCGTCATGAAGCATTTTGGTTTGTTGGTGGTTTAGATGTACCACATACTGTTAGAAACCAAAGAAAAAAACATAAATGGTTACGTGATCAACTTGAAGAGCCTATCGATCGACCAGTTCAATATATTGGTAAATAATGTTACAGTAAAAAAAATCCATTAATGTAAACAAAAAAGAGAAAAATATAAACCTTTTGATTTCTTATGTTTATGCAAACACGGATTTTATCACGTCTATTAACTTATTTTAAATTCTTACATAGGACAAGCTAAAAAATGAATAGAGAAGTTGCATTAATTTTTTTTATTAAGAATTCCATTTTTTTAGTATTATTATTAAAAGAAATAGTAAAATTTTTAAATTAAAAGAGAACGTCTTGTGATTGGTTGTGACGGCATTATTGTAAAATTACATGAAAAATCAATTGTTAAAATATATTTTTTTAATTTTTCTTAGTAATTTGTAGTAATCTTTCAAAAACAAAAAATATTAAAATACATGCAACTTCCCTATTAAAACCCGCGTAAAAGAACACATAGCTGACGTGAAGAATCGACGCGCCAGGAAAGTCTGCAGTCTGTGAACACGGATCAGATTTGATAGACCACAAATCCTCGCTAGTGAACACCCATTCCTTCCAAAGGTGATTCAAGAGGCTATTGAAATCAAAAAAAATCCTATTTTCAATAGAGAAGATGACTGTGGGATATTAATTTATAATTAATAGAATCAGGGGTTACTTTGCGGAAATCCATTATATTAAAGTTAGAGAGAACTTAATTCGCTTATTTCCGCGTAGTCAAGTAAAATGATGTGTCCTGTCCGGTTTGAAGAGTACCTTCCCTCCATTGCGAACACCACCACACTAGGAAAGATACACCATCCTCGATAATAAATATATGTGATAGAGCCATGCTGCAGCTATATTTCTGGTATAGTTGTAACACGAATGGGTCGGCTTGACCGGGGAAGGACCACGCTCTCACAGAATACCAGCGAAAAATAGCAGCTTAATGCTGCTGTGTTTCGTATGGTTTCGTACGGAGACCCTTTTTACTGGAAACCGAGGCATTCCATCTTAGTCCTCACGGGTGACAACGCATCTGCATTTTGATTCCTAATCGAGGATAAATGTAGATGTCTATGGGCCGCAGCAACCACTTACCATCAGGTGGACTGTGTGCTCGTTTGACACCCTTATCCAATAAAAAAAGCTAAACTTAGTGGACAGCCACCACAGAGTCAACTTAACCTAAGGATGCCTCGTGTAGAGGCGAAACACGTGTCGCATTATCGAGGATGGTGTTCGCAATCGAGGGAAGGCGGGAGGTGCTCTTCAAACTGGGCTGGACACATCATTTTATTTCATTACGCGGAAATAAGCGAATTGTGTTCTAATAACTTTGAATTTAATTTAATTATCTACGCGAATCTTCCTTGGTAAGAAGCCACAAATCTGATGTAATATTCGGGACGATCCTGAACATGTTCACATACTCAAACGTTTTTTTTACGTGGTACAGCTATGCTGCAGCTATATTATTGGCATAGTTGTAGCACGAATGGGTCGGCTCAACCGGGGAAGGACCATGCTCTCACAGAATACCAGCGTAAAATAGCAGCCAAATGGTGATGTGTTTCGTGTGGTGAGGTAGAGAACCGGAGAGCCTTTTTACTGGAAACGAGGCATTCCATCTTAGTCCTCACGGCTGACAACACATCAGCCATTTGATTCGTAATCGAGGATAGATGTCTATGGGCCACAGCAACCACTTACCATCAGGTGGACTGTGTGCTCGTTTGTCACCCTTATCCTATATAAAAAAGGACGTCAAACACCTCGGTCCCACTCAGACTGTAATAAGTTTAAATTATATGCGATAAAATCCGTAAAATTTGTTATATTTATTATTGATACTTATGAATTGTAGTAAAATATGGTTTAATCAAAAAAAAATATATTAAATTTTAGGGACACCTCTGCTGACTTTGAGAAGTAACTTGCCACTCAAACCACTACTGCCATATGTTGAAGCAACTAATCCCGATTTCAAAGTGCCGAAATTCTCTTTCGTTCCCGAAAGTGTTGGTTATCACACGCAACACAGACATGGCACTAATATACCAGGTATAAGTTAAAAAATATACTACTGATTTCGTTATAACAAATAAATCACAACACAATAAATAAGTCTTCGGTTAAAGATGTGAAAATTAATAAGCTAAGTTCCATGTGTAAAAATAAAAGTGTGTGTATTACCTGGCTCTAATAGCTCCTTCCTTCCATCCACAATCGCGTGCACTTTGACTGCCAGCACTAAGCCCAAAATCACTTCACTCAACATGTCTACCCGCAACACTATCTCCCACCGACCGTTAATCTAACCCCTAACTACGAAACACACACCACTATCGAGAAAACGGCACGGGTTTCTCTATTCGAGATATAGATATTATGATTAAAAGAGATTACACAATGGTGTCAATGATTATGGGAGGGAAAGAATGCTCTACGAATAAAGTAATAATTTTTTTTACTATTACAGTGGACCCCCGGTAATCCAACAAACATTTTGCAGGACAGTTTCGGACTATCGAATACGTCGGATTATAGAGTACTGCGTAAGACCCCCCTATAGTCCGGATTTTTTTATAAAAGAGTACCTTGTAATTTGACAAATTCCAGTTCTAATCATAAGATTCTATATATGTTATATATGGATTCTGAAGTACAAATTATACTTCATTATTTATGTCAAATTTAGTAAATTAAACAATACAATAGGGAGCTTACATTTTATTATAAAATTAACGTCATTAATGCTATAGAACTTACAAAAAATATGCAATAACTTTACATTAGGAAATAATTGTGTACAAACAAATGTACATACTAAAATAATCAAAAATTATGAATCAAGTTATAACTTGTTCAATCATGCATTTGCGAAGATTATGAAAAAAATATCTAATATTAAATAATAGACCATGTCGGATTACAGGGGGTGCCGGATTTGACATGGGCCGGATTACCGGGGGTCCACTATATATATAGCAGTATTACTTCATGCATAACCGGACTTGCGTTTCATATAGTGTAAGCAACTGTCCCGGCATGAAGTATGCTGCTCCTTGCAACTGCTTTGGCCTTGAACCAAATGAACCACCCAAAGTTTGGGTACGAGGAAACATGAAGGCGGTCGGAGTATTCCAATAATTCATTACAAAAAAATGGAGCCAAAGTGAGCTGGCTCCTTTTTTGCATTGAAGAGGCATGCTTGTGTTTTGGAGACGTTGAATTGCACAAGATTGGCATCGCCCCATTCGGAAACTGCCTGAATTACATCACATCATTTTATTTTCGCATATGTGACATCTTATCGTTTTCCATTTTGCGGATATTTAAAATAACAAATTTCCGCCAATGTATGTTACAACTGAGTTTATAAATGATTTTAAAACAACTATAATTTTATATTCCCATTTTTCCAGGATTTTGGACTGGTGATTGTGATGAATTTGGCTTATTATCCTATCATGGTCGTGGTCATATATCAGTAAGAAATCCATCATTTGGTCTGGAGGATAATGTAGAGGCACTGCACTCTCAAGCTTTAAAAGCTAGCTTTGGTTGGCTACTGGGGCAGGCAAATTACCAAGGATTTACTACATACAATGATATTACATATCCACTAGTAACACAAACTATTATAACAAATGGAAAATTATGGTCATTTTATGTTTATCAAATGAACACTATTGCAATGCATAATGAGCAAATGGATGAAAATCCGAAACATAACATATGCTTTGGTACAAAGCCCCTTCAATTGTATGATACTATTGAGAATGGCCAGGTAAAAGGATTTAATGAAGAAGTTTTGAAGATGTTAGTTCAGTTGTATTTAAATGCTCCAGAAGAAAGAGACCATGAAATGAAGCCATTCTTGGGAAAAGAAGAACAGATTATAGCTGACATAGAAGATGATGAAAAACGTCGCTGGTTAGAATCCAGATATAAGCATTTAGTTTCAAACAGACCCAAACATTATTTAATGCCTGAAATATATCTGTGGGAGAGAATTTACAAAATTAAACACAATACCAGATTCTTTGAAGCTAAGCGACGGTTCTTTGAACGAGATATCAACCCATTTAAGAGACGTTTGGATGAACATTTGCCGCCTTATATTCCCAAAGTCTTGCGACCATATCCAAGATGTAGAAAGAAATTTGAAAATACATATTATCCTAAAGTGTGAAAAAATTATATCATTTCCCAGATATAATATGTAGAATTATTTAAAATAAAATTGTGTTAGTAAGACCAAATGTTTGTATTGTAACATATGTTACTACACATATTGTTTATTTCCCTGTAATTTTAAACTATTTAGTTATTTCAAAATACGACTATTATTACAGGGTAACAAGAGAATAAATTCGTTTTCTCAACAACTAAATTCAGCGTATGCTAAGTAAGTGCTAAGGGCGCTTTGGACAGTAGGTTGTTTCCTGTGTGGGACAGCAGAAACAAAAGAGGTCGCCATACCACAGAATAAATAATAGTACAACGTACAGAAGTTGCACTCCTTTGACGTTGACTGCATTCGTAAGTGCTAAGGGCGCTTTGGACAGTAGGTTGTTTCCTGTGTGGGACAGCAGAAACAAAAGAGGTCGCCATACCACAGAATAAATAATAGTACAACGTACAGAAGTTGCACTCCTTTAACGTTGACTGCATTCCGACGTTTGAATAGCCTACATAGTTATTATTAATCAGATAAATCGCGCACGCAAGTTAAATAAAACTTTATCGCTGCGCACCGTGTCCGTATTACTTTGCATCTGTTCACCTTTCTACGTCACGACGGAATTTCCGTGGTTACTAAGGGCTGTTAATAAAGAGTAAAAAAATACGTTGTGAAACATTAAAGTAATATGTACTTACGTACTAGAACAGCTATTTCGAACTGTAGGAGACTGTATTTGAATTTAATTTTAACTTTACTGTGTACTGTGTAGGGTGAACTATGCTAGGGACGTTGAAAGAAAAGATAGTACTCTTGACGATTATAATATATTGCAACTATTTACAAGCGGCAGTAATTATATACAGGAGGGAGTCTCGATTCTTGCTTTTCCCTCTTGAGGTTTTCTCTCTTGATGTTTCTTCTTGAAATGCCGTTGTCGAAATGAACAACTCACAGCCCAAAACGCCCTTCTTATATTCCCAAAAAAGGTGTCTCGGCACGAGCGTGGTGTTATGAGGTGTGCCGCGCGCTGATTGGTCGGCGGCATCACGTGATGTTCGGGCGGTGTGCGGGGTGCGCGGGGCGTAACGGGGTATGAAGGGGCGACGGGGCGGTGGCTACCCTCACCGTCCGTAACACAAACAAAAAATGTGCTCTACTCGTGTCTTCGCGCATGCACATTGAAGAGTAGTGTGTAAAGATGAGACGTATTTACGCTACCAGGTTTTAAAACCAGGTATTCACTTCAAAGTACGGCGCCCTGGTACGAGCAAAAAATACTTGCAAGTATGAAAATACTTGCATAGGAAAATTATCCATATCTCAATAGTAGTAAGGAACTCAATCGTATTTGTGAACGAAAAATACTTAGAACTTCAAAGTATTTTTTTTATTTATACGACTTTGCTCCTTATTCATAGTAGGATAACATGGAATACGGGTGAAATTCCTATGCAAGTATTTTCAAATTTTGACACCACGGCTGGATACGTCCCTCGCGTCGCAATGAGACGTATTTACGCTACCAGGTTTTAACTTTAAAGTACGGCGCCCTTTTACGACCAAAAAATACTTGCAAGTATGAGAATACTTGCATAGGAAAATGATCCATATCTTAATAGTAATAAGAAACTCAATCGTATTTGTGAATGAAAAATACTTTGAACTTCAAAGTATTTTTTTTATTTATACGACTTTGCGCCTTAGTCATAATAGCCTAACATGGAAAGCGGGTCGAATTACTATGCAAGTATTCTTCCTTATATATTACTATACTCTTTGCAAGTATTTTCAAACTGACACCGCGGCTGGACACGTCGCGTAAGTACCTAGTAAGTAATAAGAATTATGTTTATATTCGAAGAAGTAAAAGTTTTGTTTCGATTTCTTGTAAATTCAATTGTTATTGTGAACTGATTACGTAACCTACTGACCGTGACCTAATTTTTAAATAGTTATTTCGCGTGTATATTGAATTTAGAGACAGTTTTAAAACTTTTATTTATTAAGAGTCCTAAGCCGAAAAGTAGGAAGGAAAGATTTCATTTCGTTACCAAAAAAATTTAAAAACGTTCAGTATAAATTTTTGCCCGAATCAAATTAGGCATTCATATATATAATATTGACATTAACAAATACTTTCAAGTATTTTTAAAACCTGGTTTTCGACCCTGGTATTTTTCCATACTCGTACTTAGAAGCCCTGGTATTAAATTTTGCAAGTATGTCTCATCTCTAGTAGTGTGGCGAATGCGCGGTTGGTTTTTATCGGCTCCGTGGCGCAGTGGCTTAGCAATCACGAATCCCGCACGGAACAAGTATTTGTATGGCCTACAAATAATTGTTCCGGGTCTGGATATTTGTCCTTGTGCAATTTATGTTTGTAAACTGCCTCCACGACACGAGAAAATCCTAGTGTGGGGGTAACGTTTTTTTTAAAAAGAAAAAAAATCATAGATTATGCGTAGGCAGAACGATCAGTATGTAAAAATAGATTGTATTGTTAATTATGTAAATTATATCGAGTACAATTTTTAAAATTTGTCATTTATTTTGCATATAGAAGAGTTTTTTTGTTTGTTTAAACGCGCTAATCTCTGGTAGGGATGTTACGGAAGTGGTTATTTCGGAAGCGGAGTTTTTAAATTTTGTTTGTCGGAACCGGAATCGGAGGTGGAGGCACAAGAAATGTGCACTGTATTTTTCTTTTCAGTTTCAAATTTTTGAATTCTTCGAATTCAGTGGCATGCACAGACTATAAATTACTTTTTAATGAAGTAATCGTACCTCCCTTTCGTGAATATGTCTTCTCACATAGTTTACACTTTGTCAAATTCCTAGAAACTTCATTGAAATAATTCCAAATGGCACTTGATTTTGGCTTCATTGTCCAAGTGCCAAATACGAAACAAAACTTCAAGTAAAAGAGTAATCGACAGAAAGCACGGGGGGTGGGAGGTTGCCGGGGCTACAAGTATAAACTTGTTTGTACACGCTAATCGCGGCCGCCGCCGCCGCTGTGCATCGACATCCGATATATAACTTCCGATTAAAATTTAACGGAACTGAAATCGGAATCGAAAGTGCAATATCAATCGGAAGTTCCGGACTTTCGGAATCGAACCTCCGTAACATCTCTAATCTCTGGAACTACCAGTCCGATTTGAAAAATTATTTTTGTATATTATAGCCAGATTCGTGTTGAATAGTATAGGCTATCTAGCATTAAGCTATATTACTCAGCTAGCCTTAAATATGGATATTTGTTAAGCAAGTCAGAAGAAAAAGCACTCCCGAAATGATTTATCCACGTACGCTGGTGTTATCGTTAGGGATACGTAAATACAATGTTCTAGAAAAATATAGACCTTTACTCCGTCTCAAAAAAAATATGTCTATTTCTTATACATAAGCCATAATTTGGTATTTTGTGACAAAAAAATGTTGAAAATTTAGAAGTGATTTATGAGCGTTATTATTAGGCATGGCCTATTTATCCTTACGAACGAAAGTTACTTCATCATCAAGACAATTTTATGAAGATAAACTTGGTTTTTTATACCATGTTATTTCGACGCATAGTTTAAGAGATAATGTTAAATTAAAGTAATTCAATACTTTGCTGGGCGCGCAAACGACGCTTAAACCCTAGCCGTTATAAAATGCTTGAACTAGGTCATGTCGCGCACCTCGGACACGTGATGACGCGGTTGAAACCGCGGGGCACATCTAGTTTAATATAATATTATATCAGAATTACATTTAAATTATATTTTTATTTGAATATTTTAAAAGGTAACTATGTAAAATATTTAAAAAAAAAAACATATTAAATCGTACTAAATGTATGTTTTTTTTTCTTTTTTTATAGGATAAGGGTGACGAACGAGCACACAGTCCACCTGATGGTAAGTGGTTGCTACGGCCCATAGACATCTACATCTATCCTCTATTACAAATCAAAATGTAGATGCGTTGTCACCCGTGAGGACTAAGATGGAATGCCTCATTTCCAGTAAAAAGGGCCTCCGGCCACCTGCACTCACCAAGCGAAACCCTTAGGTAAACCTCTACTTCACGCTGATTTTTAGTGAGGTCGTGGTACCACCCCGGTTCGAGCCGGCCCATCCGTGCGACAGCAAAAGCTGCCGCGTCGCTCTACCACTGTTAAAATAAATAAAACATAAAACTTATTGATATAACATATAATTTACAAATATATTTATTTAGATTCTAAGAGTCACTCATATATGCTGGGCACGCGAGATTTAAAAAATGTTTTATATATATTGATATTTTATATTTATATATATAATGAAATTTTAGTTAACAATCAGGCGTTACTTTGCAAAAATCTATTATCATTCCACCTGATGACGCCTTGTTTAGAGGCGAAACACGTTCACTTTTTTGCCCCTTTTCTAGTTAAAATGGTCTCCGGTTCTCTACACTCACCATACAGCAGCAGCCTTAAGCTGCTATTTTACGCTGGTATTCTGTGAGAGCTCGGTCCTTCCCCGGTCGAGTTCACATATTCATCCATCTGATTTGATCATATTGATAGATCCATATTTCGTCACCAGTTACGATTTCTGAAACACGTCTAGATGCCCCGTTTTCAAAACGTAGACGCATTTCATGGCACCAATCCACAGGAGTCTGTTTTTCGCTTTCGGAGAGCAAACGAGGGATATATCGACAACAAAGCTTCCTCACTCCGAGATGTTGATGTAGGATTGTATGAATGCTCCCCGAACTAATGCCTACAAATTTTTTCGATGTCCGTATATGTGATTCGTAGGTCTTCTCGCACCAATATTTCTGTAGTCCATACATTTTCTGCCGTTACTGCTGTTCTTTGGTCATCTTTAAGATTAATTTTACCCCTTTTGAATTCAGCAAACCAACTAAAAATTGTTGCGCGTGATGGTGCTGAGTCCCCTAATGATGATTGTAACCGTTGTTAACTTAATTGTTCGGTAGAACCAAATTTAAAATCATAATATATCACAGCGCGCAAATGTTCACGGTTAAGATCCATCGTTTTAAATGAAAAGTGCGGGAAGTGTT